CGTGGTGGAGCCTGCTCCGGACAAGCTCGCCGCTTCGGCTGGGCGTGCGTGTCAGCCTCGACACCCATCACGAGGGAGGCCAAGGGAGCCGGCACCGGCACAAGAGCTGTACTTAGGAAGTTCTTCAGGAAGCAGCCCTGCTTTACACTCACACAAGGGGGAATTGAGGAGGAAAAAATAAAAAACACAACACAACACCAAAAAAAAAATTCAAAGCCTGATGTGCTGCAGCAGTGCGTGTTCATCAGCTTTCTGAAAACACCGTGCGATTCTCGCTTTACTTTCCGGCTTTTACTGGCTGTCGGGGTTGTTTCTGGGTGTTTTCCCATCAGTGGCAGGAACTGCTGTCTCTCTGCTGTGACCTGGTTATGTTGTAGGTTTTTGGGCTTTTTTTTCTTCCCCAAAAGGAATAAAGCTGCTGAGCAGCAGAACTGACTCCTGTACCATCGCCGTAAAAATGAAACCCTGAACGCACGTGCAGACTGGTCACTGCAGGTCTCTTCAGGGGCTGGGAGGAAGAGGATGGCTTAAGCTACCCGAGGAGCTTCCCTGTGCTTGCCTTGCTTCGGCCTCACCTGGCAGAGGTGGAAAGAGAGGAGTTGTGCTTCTGGCTGCGGGTCTCCCACTGTTGGTGGGATGGCACAGACCGAGATGCCAGAGCAGAGAGCACGTTGGCTCTTCAGCTGCTGCACGTGGTCTTCTGGTGGTGTCTGAGGCTGCCGAGGATGAAGAGTGCTGCGTTTTTGCTGCTTCAGTGCAGGACAAGAAACCTTTGTCAAAAGGAGGGGGTAGCTCTTGGGTGTAGAGTCTGGAGATAAGGACTGAGAATCGGAGCCTGGTGATCACCAGCGCTGATCCCTGTGAGTATGTTTTGTGGAGTAAAGCAGCACTGTTGGGAGCAAAGCTTTTAGCTCCTTTTGTGTCTCCTTTTTTTCTTTTTTTTTTTGTGGAGAGTGTAATGGGTTGCAGCACTGTGCCATGGTGGGAATGAATCCATCCAAAGTCTGTAGTTAAGTATCTTTTGCAGCTTCACAGCTCGTCTCTGTGGTTCTTTCCATTGCTTTCTAGTTCTTGTAACTAAACTAGTGTGAGTAGTGATGGTCGGGGAGTCACCCATGTGCTTGAATACGTTGTTATTACTGGTGTTATCTTCACTGGCAAAGATGAAAGTGAATCCTTTCCCCCTGACTATATCCTCTTCCCTATGTTCTTCCATCATCTTTCTCCCAGATTCAGCATACTTTCACCAGGTTGCTCAAACTTTTAGTTAACCGTTTTAGTAAACATCTTTCAACTAAGCTAAAAAACCCCACCATTAATTGTGTTGTCAAAAAACCATGAACCTGACGGCCCCTCTGCTGATATACAGACTTCTGGCAGGCACTGGAGGAAAAAAAAAAAGGAGGAAAATTCCCCTGGTCCTCACAATTCCCTGCGCAAGCCATGATTCAGCAAGGCGGCCACGTGGGTGATGGTGCAAGAGCTACTGTGAAACCAACAGGCTCCTTTTCCTCTTGGAGGGAGTGAGAGAGCAGAAAAGGAGCTTCAGTGTGTTTTTGCACAACTCTTATTTTTTTAATTTTTTTTTTTAAATCCCTCCTCCAGTCATTGCTTGTAATGCCAAACCTCCGCAGCAATTTCAAAAGTACTTCCTGACGCCGTGGAAACTTTCCCTGCGTGATGAAGACAGGGTGAGGATAAAGGAGAAGGGAACTGCTCTTTTCTTCTGCACTCGGCTGTCAGAAAGGGACTTACTGTTTGCATTTCAACCTGAACCAAGTGACTGATTTTTTCACTTCCGATGATGACTGGTGGATCAGACTTCTGCTCCCTGAAGCCATCTGTTGTGAGTGGAGCCGTTGTAATTTCTTTAAACTATGAATTCAAAGCTGCTGTGCATTGAAATGGTCCTTTGTGCAAAATACTTTTAGTTCATTTAATGAAGTTATGCTACTTTGTGTCATTAAATAAATCACATCTCTCAGTTTTTTTCCAAAAGCTGAGCTTCTACTAAACCACAGATTTAACAAGCTTGAAGGATTTAGTTTAACTGCAAATGACGGAGCCAGATCCTCAGGTGGGAAGCCGATGCCTGAGATTTTTCTGCCACTCCAGCCTGCTCTGCCAGCCCTGCAGCTTGTTTTCCCCTGCAGCTCCTCCTGGGCCCGACTTCGAGCAAGGTCAAGGCTGTTTCTGAACACTTTGAACATGAAACACTGATCAGAGCCGCAGCTCTGAGCCTTCTGCACAAATGCTGTTACGCCAGTTTCTTGAAGTGCCTCATTTTCTTATCGAGTAGGTGGGTTTTGGACGTCCATGTACTTCCTTTCCAACTTGCTGCTGGAGAGTTTCTTCTCTTGAACACACAAGGCACTAAGGGATAATTCGTTTCAGATCAAGAAGCTGTGAAATAAATATGTGCTGAGCTGACTTGCACTGAAAATTGAGAATTTCACTGAAAATTGAGAATTTCTCTGAAAATTGAGAATTACTACTATAGTGAGAATTTTATTTTAAAATATGCAAACAAAAGTGCAGTAATTTTATTTTTTTTTTTTTTAATTTGCAACCTGGATGCCACATTACAGCATTGTTAATTCGGTGGCTGGGCTCTCCGAGGGAGCGTGCAGGGAATTAGTATGGGCTTGGAGGGCCAAGTCTGTTCTTGTCCAGTTTCAGATGCAGGTTAGTTGTTTATCCTTACATCCCGCTCTTGCTAATACCAGACAGCTCAGAGAAGTGCACAGATGGAGGGAATAAAAGGGTTTACTTGAGAAAAATACCTTCTCCACATTGTATATAGTGTTGGTGTTAAAGTTATGTGATATGCTTCTTTATCTACTGTGATTTATTTAGCTGTTTCTTTGTTCAAAAGAAGGAGTGCTTTCTTTTAAATGTCAATAGGTGAGGACCCTATATCCTACTCTTTTCCAAGCTTTGATTATCATAAGGGAAATGGATTATGGTCCCCTGTACGGCCGTCATTCCAAGCCCAACTTCAGTAGGACTCTGGAATACCCTGTGTCTGGTTTGGTGGTTCAGACCAGAAATCTGATGGTACTTTGTGCAAACAATATGTATTGTTAGGGAAGCGTTTGGAATTAAAATCCCTGTGGGCAGGTTGCTCAGACCTGCTGTTAGATTGCAGGGTTCTTAATTTTTTCCCCATATTGCAGTGTAGGTACTGGAAAACGCAGAAGATCGTGCAGATAACTTGCACCATCTGAAAGAGCAATCAGTAAAGGAGCCTGGAGGGCTGTTGGAGGATGGGAATGGCAGTCTGAGTCACAGCTGCATCCCTGCAGACATGCTCAGGTGTTGCAGGTCTATTTATCACTCCTCCATCAGGCAAAGGGCTCCAAGGTTTGTCTAGGTGGATGTCATGGAGCTTTGACCCCTGTTCCCCATCAGTGTCCAAGGAGATGGGGCAACCAGCACGTGTCCAGTTTTGACTTGCACTGCCTGAACTTTGCTTTTACTGCTGCTTGTGCCTCTGAAGGGTGTTTGTGCAGAAATGATATGCTTTCCTGGGCGTTTATGGTGAGAATTCATTTTCATCTCTCTTGAGCTTCACGACATAAACCAGTATGTGCTTGTGCTGCATGAATTCAGGCTGTTAGCCTGCTTTGTTTTCCTTTGTTTGGATCTGGCAGTGTTCACCCAGGACAATGACAGGGAACAGCAGTTCACCTGTTTTCACTTCTTCTGCCAAGATCATGTTGCACAAGGTGTGTGTGTTGTACAGTGACGTCGTAGGGCACGATATTTATACCTTGGAAATAAGGTGTGATAATTGAGGGTGGACTGCACTGTCTTATCCTGACGTTTTGGAATGATGCTGCTAATGTTTGCCCCAGTGGTGTGGCTGGGACCGAGCCACGCTTTGGGACTGTGATGGGCAGCTGGTGGACACCGGTAGGCCATGCATTTCCCAAACTGTCATGAGAGGAGGAGGAGGAGGAGGAAGTCAACACGGGGATGTGTTTGCTCCTGTTCCAAAGAGTCAGCTCATTATTTGAGCATATGAAGGAATGAGGGGCATATTTGTTATTCAGCTGTCATCGAGAGGTAATTTCTGTAAATCTTTTTTTGTGCTATTCACTCTGTAGCAGAGAGGCTGCCTATTTCTTGGTGATCAGAGAAAAATCTCCAGGATATTATGGGGAGGGAGGAAAGGCTAGTGCAGATTTTCCTGAATGTGGGATGTGTCATGCAGATGCTTTATTGTGCCGTGTTTTTAGCTTTAGCAGCTATTTGTTCGTGATCTCACTCACGTTTTTGTTAAGGACTCGAGGAGGATTGAGGTGGTAGCATGTTTTCTTTTTTACAAATGGAGAAAGTGTGGCACAAAGTGCTGAAGCAATGCAAGGCCTCATTCGGAAGCGGAATGCATCCAGTGAATCTTAGTCCCATGCTCTTTAATGCAGGCTGCGTAATTTGGGTAGAGATATTCTTAATGCAACGTAATGTGGACAGTGTCCTGAATTATGACTTGTAAGCTATTCTTTTCTCCCCGAGATCTTGTCTGATAAATGACAAGAAGGAAAGCATCTAAGGCTTTTAAAGGTGTTTGACTCTGGAGGATGGACTAGAGCTACCCCTGAAAGAAGCTGTAGTTACGCCCCTGCGAGTACCGTGCCTTTTCACGTACGCAACCTTTACGTGAACAGATAGTGAACCAGATCTGGGAATTGGTTCACTGTTCTTTTTGACTGGGTTGGTTTTATCCCTGGAAAAATTCCTCATTCCATCCCACAAATGCTGCTCCTGGCCCAAATGAACGGGTGGCCCAGAAACGGGAGCGAGGAAGGGATCCGCTTCCCTTGGCAGAGACATGGGTGTCTGCCAGCGCGGTGCCTACCGAGCTCCTCAGCATTGAATTCACACCTCCGTTCCCTGTTGGCCAACAGGAGAGATGCTACAGTTGTGTATTCTAGGCTCTGCTTCCTGTGTTAAACAAAATATTTCTATTTCAGTGCTTTCACTAGCTGTTGAGAACCATGTCTGACAACGGAGAACTGGAAGACAAGCCACCAGCTCCTCCCGTCCGGATGAGCAGTGCTATCTTCAGTTCAGGGGGCAAAGACCAGTTGTCTGCCAACCACAGCTTGAAACCCCTGCCCTCTGTACCAGAAGAGAGAAAACCTAGGAATAAAATCATCTCCATATTCTCTAGCACTGAAAAAGGTAAGGTGCCTCTATTTCCTGAGGTTACTACGTTTATGCCTTTACTCTTCCTGTAAGTTTTTGTAGTGCTTTCTGTTTGTGCTGGGATGTTTAAAGATGAAATGCTAAGTAAGAAAAATTCAATATCTCACTGAGGAAAACCACCACCTATTGCTTCTAATCTTTGCTGCCCAGTTTGTAGTAATGCTTTTCCAAGCAATCCTAATAAATGTTTGTGATTCCTGGGCATCGTATTACTTACCATTTTGCTGTGCTAAATGCAGGTTTCTAGTTTAAACGGAGCTTCCAGCTGTTTGGGAAGGTACTGCATGTTGATGCCCATTTATGTGGTACCTTGAGGAGAGAAAAAGGTGGTAAAGAAGTAGTGGGGAGGGTGCAGTGTGCATGAAGGAGAACTGAGAAAAATAATTTCCTTCTGTCTGCGTAACTGCACCGTTAGGATTAATTACTAGTGAGGGAAAAATCCAGATTGCTGTTATTGCAGCCTTCCAGTACTTAAAGGGGCTACAGGAAAGCTGGAAAGGGGCTTTTTACAAGGGTGTGTAGTGACAGGACAAGGGGCAATGGCTTTAAACTGAAAGAGGGCAGATTTCCATTAGATCTAAGGAAGAAATTCTTCCCTCTGAGGATGGTGAGGCGCTGGAGCAGGTTGCCCAGAGAAGTTGTAGATGCCTGTTGTGGTTTTATAATAAAAGGAACTGAGGGTCGAGACAAGAACTGAGAGGGAGCACCCACCAACCATGGTCCCAGGGAAAACATGACTCAGGCTTTTTCTTAAAACAAAACAATTTATTAACAGTTGCTTAAACAAAGACAAAAGGAAAACCAGTTACTTAAAAGGATAAAAAGAAAACAAGGCCAGATCTTAAAAACAACACCTCTCCACCCCCCTTTCCTTTTCTTCCCAGCTCTAACTCCTCCCCCCAGCAGCGCAGGGGGACAAGGAATGGGGGGGTACAGGTCAGTTCATCCATGCTGTTACTGCTGCTCCTTTCTTAAAGGAGGAGGAGTCCTTACACCATTTTTCCTTGCTCCAGTGGATCCCCTACTCACTAGAAAAATCCACAAACTTCTCTCAGGCTGAGTCCTACCCGCAGGATACAATCCTTCCCCATTGGATTACTTCAATGTGGGCTTCACCAGTCTTGGATTCTTAGGGAGCTGTTGCCACTCGCGTCGGCGTGGATCGTCCCACGGACTCTAGATGCTTCATGACCTTGTTGTGCATCCCATGCCCCATTGTTAACAGTACCTGGTCGTGCATCCCCTGCTCCACGACCTCTCCCGGGCTCAGGCATCTCTTTCCCCGATGTGGCTTCTCCATGGGCTGCAAGTGGGTCTCTGCTCCGCCGAGTCTATCTTGGTTGCAGGGGGGCCGCCTGCCAGCTCACCACCGACTGCAAGGGAAACCTCAGCTCCAGCACTGACCTGGTGTCGGTGTGGCTGTTTCTCTCAGATCTCAGTCCTCTCTGGGTGAGCTCGGCCCGGCGGGCACCCCGGGAGCGGAGTGTTTCCCGAGTCCCCCATGCGGCCCTGCCGGCACCATCTTGAGCACATGGTGCCAGCCCGGCCCAGGCAGCCATCTAGCCGGGAGCGGGGGCAGCGCCCTCCGTCGGCCCGGCGGGCACCCCGGGAGCGGAGTGTTTCCCGAGTCCCCCATGCGGCCCTGCCGGCACCATCTTGAGCACATGGTGCCAGCCCGGCCCAGGCAGCCATCTAGCCGGGAGCGGGGGCAGCGCCCTCCGCCCCTCTCCTCCCTCCTGGGCAAAAGACCTTTTCCCGTCCCTTTGTCTCAACTTAAATAGGGCCATTCGCAGAGGTGCTGATTTGGCTCAACGCCCCGAGGGGGATGGGACTCAGATCTGGTGGCACAGGGAGCAAATCCCCTCTCCTGCCACCAGAACACCCCCCCACACATCAAACTATCACAATGCCCCATCCCTGGAAGTGTTCAAGGCCAGGCTGGATGAGGCTTTGGGCAACCTGGTGTAGTGGAGGGTGTCCCTGCCCATGGCAGGGGGGTTGGAACTGGATGATCTTTGAGGTCCCTTCCAACCCAAACCATTCTGTGATTCTGTGATTTCTGAGCAAAAAATGGCTGTAATGAAACCAGACTGCATTTGTGCTTTGTTTCTGTCCTCTCTTCTTAATGAGGAATGTTCGTGCAGCACTGGAGCCCTGACCTGGTTCTCCAGGGTGTCTGTATCCGTGTAGGACAAACAGTGCAGGGAACCGCGCAGGGATTTACAAGCCTGACCTGACACTGCTATGCATTTTGTTAATCTCGACCTGTTAGCATTTTTGTGATTGCACATTTTGTTAAGATGCACAAGGGGAAGACCCTGCTGCTCTGAACGTCTTCCAGTTCTGCTCTTGGCCTCCTGCGCCTCATTGCTGGTGTGCCGGGCAGGACTGGTTCAGTCATGCCCACACTGGTTTGATTGTTTCGAGAGACTTTGCTCCTCCAGTTATTTATTCACTGGGCTAAGTATTTACCCCAGGGCTGGTTTTTACTCGTGCTCAGCTGTGTGAGCAGTCCTTCTGCAGCCGTTCCTCACCCTGGAGACAAACACTAGAGGCAGACTGCCCTGGATTCAGAAGATCTGGCTTTCCACGATCTGGCAGAGGTTCTGCTCTGATCGGTGGGTGTGTTTTCCTTTTTGGAGGATGGAAAGATTTGGCCAGTGTAGCTTTTGGAAGCAGAATAGTTCTTTCACAGGGTCACTTATTGTGAAATGTCTGTGGCTGGATTGCAGCAATAGAAGTGGTGGTCTTTTTTACTGACATTGGTAAAGAGGTAAGTCTAGAAGACTGTCAGTCTTTTTTTTTATTGACATGCCTTAAAGAGGTAAGTCTAGAAGGAGAGTGTGAGCAGCTACTACAGGTTGGTGGCAGCACCCTAAGAGGGGCTCCAGGCCCCTGAGGTTGGTGAAGGTGGTGAATCTGGGTGCTGCCAGAGTAGTTGTGGTGCCACGTGTCTGGAGCAGGTTCTGCCTTGGCCCTTCAATACTGCAGAAACTGGTGTGTTACCATTATATCGTTGGTCATGGGAGGAAATGCTTAGAAATTGTTGCGGTGAGTGCTGCAAAAAAATCTGGTGGAAGGATCACATCTGTCCATCTTCAGCTTGGGAGAACGGTTTAAGAGCTGGGATGGCACTTGTCATTCTGCTGTTGCATTGATTGTTCCGCAGAGCGTTTGTGGCCCTCTTTTGCAGACAGGGATATAGTGAAGTGGGACGTAAACCCTGTGCAAAGGAAGGTTTTTCCTTGCTCTGAGTTTATTATTACTGTGTAAGACTTGCTCGTGTTGTGAAACGAATTGTGAGCGCGGGGCGGCTGGAGAGCTCCGTGACCTTTTACAGCGCCTTCACTTCTCCTTGGATGTTTCCTCTTTCCATCTTGACGGTGGGTTTGCTCGTTCCTGAAATGGCTGGGGAGGTGGTTGAAGACTTGTCTAAAGTTGTATTGGCTCAGCTGAAATCGCTTTGGAATCCCATTCCTTAGGCTCATTCAGACCGCTCCGTAAATCCTGATGTGTACCAAAATTAGGGAAATTAATCTGCATACTTGTTTAGCGTGTGTCTGTATACCCACTGGCTTGTAGTGACGCAAACGGGAAATGGAAGAAAGAGTTTCTGCTGAGAAAAGTACATTTTAGAGAACACAGTATTAGTTTATCTTTTCTAGATGTTAAAAAGTAATGTCCTTCTGAAAAAAAGCAGAAGGTTTTACTGCTTGGCAAGATAATGTGGTTAGGAAAAATGGTAATTGAATTACCTAGCTTAAAGAAACTGTCTGGAAGTTTTATTTTTTTTAAATTTGGAAAAAAACTTACCGATTGGATGATCTGCAGCAAGGACGATGTAAACATCCAAAGAAATGTTTTCAGCCCTCAGGACTGCAAAACTGACTGTCAAATGTAAGCAGAACAGAAATGGACACGGTGACTTTCTGGCACTAAAACACTGGTCAGATGTTAGCTCTTTTGTTCATTAGCACGGTTAAGGTGCACCCTCACCAGAAATGTCCATTTAAATATATATATATATTTTAAATTCTACTGCTGAGAAGCTTTACCGAAATATTAACTTCCTGCTTGAATTTTAAAAATATATTGGTACTATATGCAAAATAATCTCTCAACCTGTGGTAGAAATTTTTTCATGGGAAAATTTTCTCCAGCCAATGCCAGAGTTCGTATGATTTTGCAAGGTCCCTCCTGGCCAGCTTTATGGTATCTGTTGCCACAGCTCTGCCCCCCTCCCCGAATTCTCTCTAGGGGGGTTCCTCTGGCTTAGGAGATGGCGTTGGGGAGGTGCTGTGCTTTGGGGGACCCACTGCAGATGGTGAGGTTTGGCAAATGCAGAGTTTCTGCCCCAAGTCTGAGCTAGTTCTGTGCTGAAATAATTGTAAGAGTTTGAAGGGGTTATTTAATGACCTAGTCATGGAGATTTTTTTCCCTAGTTTAGGATAAATGAAGTGCTAGTCGTCTTTGTACTAGAGTACTTAATTGCCATCAATTCCCTGGGACAGACTTCTGAAGTCAAGTGAACCTGCGTGGTTTTGGAAAGCTTTAAAATAGTCCCCTAAACCAAGAAATGTTTGTCTTGGAGCAGAACAGGTTTTGGTGTGGTGTCAGCTGCGGCTCGGTAGCTCAACACGTATCATCTGGAGTCATCTACCTGCCATGACCAGGATGTTGGGGAAGAGAAGAGCCCAGCTATTTGAGGCACTTTCTTGAGCGATTCTCCAGTTCACCGAATCCTGAAGGACCTGCGTCTTAACCATCTAAGGAACCTGAAGGTGCCCAAGTCCCTGGGACCTGATGAGGTGCATCCTGAGGGAAGCGCCGGATGAAGTTGCTAAACCATTAGTCATCATGTTCGAGAAGTGGTGGCAGTCCGGTGAAGTTCCCGCTAACTGGAAAAGGGGAAACATAGCCCTCATCTTTAAAAAGGGAAAAAAAGAAGACCTGGGGAATGACGGGCCAGTCAGTCTCACCTCTGTACCTGGCAAGATCATGGAGCAGATCCTCCTGGCGACTATGCTAAGGCACATGGAAAATAAGGAGGTGATTGGTGACAGCCAGCATGGCTTCACTAAGGGCAAATCCTGCCTGACTAATTTTGTGGCCTTCTATGATGGGGTTACAGTGTTGGTGGATAAGGGAAGAGCAACTGACATCATCTGCCTGGACTTGTCCAGAGCATTTGACACTGTCCCGCACGACATCCTTGTCTCTAAACTGAAGAGCCACGGATTTGATGGATGGACCACTCGGTGGATAAGGAATTTGGCTGGACGGTCGCACTCAGAGTTGCAGTCTCTCCGGGGAGACCTTCCAGCAGCCTCCCAGTACCTAAAGGGGCTACAGGAAAGCTGGAGAGGGGCTTTGGACAAGGGCCTGTAGTGACAGGACAAGGGGCAATGGCTTTAAACTGGAAGAGGGGAGATTTCCATTAGATATGAGGAAGAAATTCTTCCCTCTGAGGATGGTGAGGCACTGGAGCAGGTTGCCCAGAGAAGCTGTGGCTGCCCCATCCCTGGCAGTGTTCAAGGCCAGGCTGGATGAGGCTTTGGGCAACCTGGTGTAGTGGAGGGTGTCCCTGCCCGTGGCAGGGGGCTTGGAACTAGGTGATCTCTGAAGTCTCTTCCAACCCAAACCATTCCATGATTCTGTGGTTCTATGATGTCCTGCCAGCGCCTGACTCCCAGCTCTCGCCTCTCCGCTGCAGCCCTTTGTTGGAAGTGCTGCTCCGATCTGCTGTTCCTGTGGGCAGAGGAGTGATTTATTTTATTTTTTTTTCAGTCTCCTTGCCCAGCCTGCTTAATAAAATGTGTGCATTTTTTGGAAGGAATGGATTTATTTGCACAGCACGTGCTGGAGGGTTTGAACACCAGCTCCCGTTCCCGAGACGTCAAGTGCTCCTGAACAGGCGCCTTCCTGAGAAACAGAATTGACTTTTTTCTTCCTCCCCCTCCACCTGGCTTTCACACAAACAACTGCAAGAGATTGGGAAGAAACGGTACTTTCCTTAAATTCTTTCACGTAAGCAAGTTTCTCCTGTCCTGCACGTGAACGATGTTAATGAGAACGTTTGACAGTCCGTTTGCTTTTTGGCTCCGACCTCTGCAGCCATATTCAAGATATCCTGTTTATAACAGCCGTGTCTTTCCACTGCATTGTTCAGCTGGAGGCGGCCCACATGGCTTTTCGTTTGGAAGTATTGTCCTCGGCTCCCCGTCCTTCCTCTCCCGCCGGCGTGCGGGGATTTCGGACGGATTCTCTGGCTCTGAGCAGCACAATCCACGCTCGCCCCGCGTTCCGTAACTTTCTGCCACGTAGCAATGAAGAGGGTGCTGGTTTGGTCACTCTTTTTCTGTACCGAAACGGCACGATTTTGATTTTTAAGGTGAATTTACTTTTTGTTTTGTTTGATACACAGGCATAAAATGGTAATCAAGTCAGATTGCAACATGGGGTGCTGCTTTCCTTGGTGGTTATGGCGTATGGGATGGGCAGGGAGGAAAAACAGGGCTTGGGCTTTTTTGGCAAGGACAAGAAAACAGGTTCCTGAAACCTTCCAACTTAACTCTTTTTCTGAGTAAAGGGAACAGAATGGTGTATTTTATATTTAGAGGTAACTACAAATGGTCTTCCATTTTTATTTATTTTCTCTTCATTGGAAAAAAAAAAAAACAAACCAAGTCTTAGGTGTTATAAATTTAATTGAATCTAGATTGGATTGGGCACACGGTCCTTCTCATTATCTGTTTCTACCTCTGGTACTTATTATGCTTGCTTTCCGTTTTGTATTTTTTTTCCCCTTTTAATGTAAATTAGGTAATTGCTCTGAGGCTATAAACTCTTATCTTCATCCCAGGAAGTCCTAATTTGCATTAATTACCTTGAATTGAAGCGGTGAGGCAACTGAGTTTTAACTGTCCTTAGGGTGAACCTGAGGTTGAGCTGAAGCTGTCTTCGGGGTTGTTCTTAATCCACATTAAAATGTCCTTTTTTTTTGCGTTGTAAACATTTCAGATGTTTAAATTCTGCGTGCTCAGCAGAGCTCCTTGCACTCTGGTGCTCTTAATCTCTTATTTGATTGCTACCATAGTATGAATGATTTGAGCAGAACGAGTTGTTGATTCCTACGGGAAGTTTACGCCAACTTGAAAATATCAAATCACTTTGCTGCGTACGCAAACACCTCCATCCAGCAAGCAGACTGATGGTTACATTCATCCTACCTTCCAGCCCTAACCATTCTATGATTCTATGATTCTAAATGGAGACAATAGGACTTTAAATCTTTGCTCAGTAGATCTTTGAATGTCCTTTTTTCAGGAAGCAAGAAGAAGGAGAAGGAAAGGCCAGAAATCTCCCCACCGTCAGATTTTGAGCACACCATCCACGTTGGCTTCGATGCTGTTACCGGAGAGTTCACTGTAAGTACACCTGCCTTGAAGCTGCTCAGCAAACAGCTGTGGGTCTGCTGGAGTGAAGCTGTTGGGGTGTTTTGGAATAAAGCACGAGTTAGTCTGTGCGTTTTGATGGAAGAAATAATTTTACTGTGTGTTTGTACAGCATGCTGAGTAATGAGACTGTGACCTGTTCGTACTTCTGCAGTGTGAACGTCAGATCTGATGCTTTGTGTCACTTGGGAGAGCCTTCCCTGGGAAACCCTCTTCAGTTTACTTTCGTTAGTGGGTAACACTGGTTCTGTTGGGCGCTGTCGTATTCCCATTCCTCACATCTGGCTTAAGACACCTGCAAGAGGTGGTGTCATGTTGGCACAGTGATTTATGTTGTGTCACCTATGGACGTACAGCTCCCCGTTAAAACCCCATCCTGCTTGTTCGTGTGTTCAAGGCTGTACGTGTTATGCTTTTTATAGAGGAAAGAAACTTGTTCTGCTTTTAAAAAACCTTTAAAATAGAATCATAGAATCGTCTGGTTGGAAGAGACCTTCAAGATCATCGAGTCCAACCGTTCATCCTGCACTGTCAGGGTCCCTAAACCATGTTCCTCAACACCAAATCCACATGGTTTTTCAACACCTCCAGGGATGGGGGCTCCACCACCTCCCTGGGCAGCCTGTTCCAATACTTCACAACCCTCTCTGGAAAGAATTTCTAGAAGGATGCTTAAAATAGCCTGGTTTTCTTTTCAGGGAATGCCAGAGCAATGGGCTCGGTTGCTTCAGACCTCAAATATCACGAAGCTAGAACAGAAGAAGAACCCCCAGGCGGTACTAGATGTGCTGAAATTCTATGACTCCAAAGACACAGCAAAACAGAAGTATCTGAGTTTTTCTGCTCCAGGTGAGATCCAAGTGTGTGCAAGACATATCGAGGAGGAGTTGGGTATTTGGAACAGTCTCTTCCTCTCTTTCAAAATAATAAATCCCGTTCAAACACGGAAAGAGCAAGCTGCTTTTCAATGAGGAACAAATATTTCAAAGGTGGATTTAAAACTTACTGGAAACTGGCGTTGTCCAGTTAATTTCCTGTTTGAAGTGGAGAGGGGAAGAAATGGAACTGGATAATTCAAAATAGCAGCCAAAATTAACTTTGACGGGCTGTGTTTATGAAGCTGGGGCTCTGAGACTGTGATGAATTGGTTTCGTGCTGGAGACCTGGCTTCTCCTGTCCGTGGCCAAAACAGCGATTTGTGAACTCGATGTCACCATGTGGTGACTGAATCAAAGATGCAAAGTACGTTGTGGCTCCCAGGTCAGGAGTGGGGTGCTGAGAGAATGACTGTGCTACAAACACATGCAGTTTTACCTAATTTTCTTCCAAATTATTTATGAAAACAGCTTAGTAATCGGACTTTGTAATAATCTCGATTCACGACACCACTAAGGGAACAGAAATATCCACTAGATCTTGAGTCCACATCTCAGCAAGAACACGAAAGTGTGACGAGCAGTGCCCAGTTTGGAAAACTGTACGTGGGGATGGAAGTGAGGTGGAGACCGAGTTGGGAAATGAGTGGGTTTGCCTACCCTTAGGGGAGGATTTTAGAAACTTGCAGCTTCCTTCTGCGTGGTCTTACAGCGCAATGCTCGTTTCTCTCATTCGTGACCACGAAATTTTGCTTTCTGAGAGATGAAAAAAACAATAATCTCCAAAGCAGCTGTGTTCTTTGCTCTGTAAAGTTCACTTTTTATTATTTTTCTGATGATTTTATGTATTCTGCTATTTGTCCTATTTAGAAAAAGATGGTTTCCCTTCAGGAACACCAACGGTGAGTGTGTTTACTATTCTTTGTATCTTCTTAGGCACATACAAGTTCAAGTCTTCTGTGTTTGTTATATACTGAATCTTGAAATATAAAACAGAATGAGAGTTTTTTGTGGAGTAAAAATGTAAATTGGGAGGGTCAACAGAGCGTATTTCACCAAAGCAATAATATTTTAGTCTTGTAATGAAATGTAATAGGGTACTTAAACCACTTAACCTATTTTTTCTTTTGACATCAGTGAGAATTCTTTTATCTTAATGTGGGAAAAAAAATTAGAAAATGTCTTTAACACTGTGGGGAAAACAATTTTGTTTATTTTGTTTGTTTGTTTCTTTTTTAACCTGGGTAAAAATGTAGACCAATGCCAAAGGTTCAGAGCCATCAACGGCTGTGGCAGATGATGATGAGGATGATGAAGAAGCTCCTCCTCCTGCTGTTGCTCCACGGCCGGATCACACAAAATCGGTGAGCAGGTGTAAAATTTACAGCGCAGACCTGCATTTCACAGTATTGCAGAACGTTTTCTACTTCTGTTTTCTAGCAAATTGTTTTAGTTATGAAATGAGCGGTTGTAAATTTTTAGGGAAAAGTTTTGTTTCTTCAAGCTTGCTAAGAAAATGCCTGATTTCTGGAGATCAGTTGCATCAGAAATCCTGAAGTTAATGTGCATTTGTGTCTTGGCTTGTGTTAAAGATACCCAGCGATGCTTATCCTTCAACCCAGCATGCGAGGAGGATGCTTGCTAATCCTGAAAAAATACAGCTATTTTCTATAACTTTACACACTACGGTGGTACAAGCGTAGTGCATTTGATTTTTCTCTACTTTATTTGATGGCAGTGTGATAGTCTCACCAAATATACTGCCTAAACCCAAACCAATTCACATTTAAAAGTTGAAAGCTTATTTCACTCACGAAGTCGTCAGCATTGCGTGGAAAGTTAAGTGCTTTGCTACACACCTTATTAATAACATGCCAGGGATCCCACTTATTCCAGCTCCTTCTTTTGACCGTGGAAGGTGTCTGTTTTGCTGCTCTGCCCACTTATTTTTGCTTCAGGAGCAGGGAACAGAAATATCCATTAGATCAACTGTGAATTGTGTGTTTTGTCAAATGATACTGCTTTATAATTGTCCTCTCTGGGTGCGTGAATGTATAAAACGTGACAGGTTTGATATTTGTAGCGTGACTGTGTGTGTTTGTGAACTGCTCAGGAGGGAATTAAATAAAGCTCCAAGCAAATCTCCAAAACTGGGGGCAGCTGGGAAATTCCAGGAGTCTCATGCTTCCTTTCATGGGGAAGCATGACTCTTTTTTTCCTTTCGATCGTAGTTGACCTTGTTATTAAATAGTGATTTCTGGTCTGTGAAACTGGGAAGTTGCAGAAATGAAGTAAATAAATGAAACCTGTTAACCTAGCATGGGGTATAAAGAATAAACAGGTAGAAAACCCACAAAAAAGCTGTCTGTGGGAGTTAGAGTTAATCTGGCATCTGCTCTGTTCAGGAAGCGCCAGGGTCTTTGTTTCAGGGGTCATTAAGGTTGCCAGTGTCTTGACTTACCAGACTTTAATGTTTCTTTAATGTTTCTGCCTCCAACCTGTTGTGTAAAATGGTGCTTAGGGATCTTTGAAAACTGTGATGGCTTTCAGCTGAAGGTCAGTGGTTGCCAAGAAGGCGCTCAGGTGAATGGTATCTCTTAACAGATTTATACCCGGTCTGTAATTGACCCCATCCCTGCACCAGCCAGCGACACGTCTGTGGACAGCGCGACGAAGTCGGGTGATAAGCAGAAAAAGAAGGCTAAAATGTCGGATGAAGAGATCATGGAAAAACTACGTAGGTGTTTTTTAGTTCAGATAAACAAAGGCCTTAGGGCTGGGGGGAGGAGTATTAAGCTTTTGCCCTCATCCTTACTTTTGTGCAAGGGTTGTATGAAGACAGCCTTTGCTGAAGTCGAGAACTGACTAGTTTCTGGACTAGGCTAAGCTAGTGGATTTGTCATAACCTCACACGGGGTTTTGCTACACTGAAGAGTATCATTAAATGGAGATAACTGGGGGAAATAGCATGTTCTGTCTCATTAAGAGTAGAACCAAGCATAATGGTTGTCTGAAGTTGGGCCATTGGCAACTGGAACTGCATCAGGAAGCTTTGGCTGTTCATGCATCAGCCTTTACTACTTGAGCAGACCCACTCGTGGAGGTATCTTCACCAGGCCAGCCCTACTAAAGGGAGACAACAGGACTGACTTTTTTTGTTGTTTTTTTTTTTAGGCACTATTGTGAGCATAGGAGATCCCAAGAAAAAATACACCAGATATGAAAAAATCGGGCAGGGGTAAGTGTTGACCCCAACTTTTATTCCTAGTGAGGCAGTGCTAAAAGTGGTGTACTGTTCTCTGTCTGATGCTGTCATGTAGCCACCACTTACTGAAGCAGGCAGAAACGTTGGCTGTATTAAGCAGTGATGAACAAATGGGAAAGGCTTTACGCGCTGGTGGAAATTTTGAATTGTGTCTTTTAATGCGAAAGCGCCGCTCTGGTGTATCTAGTCCTTTCCACTGTCGGTAAGATGCGTTTATCTGTTTTGGAATATGACTGCTGAGTAGCCGTGAGGGCACGTCAGAAGGCTTTCTGAGTGCTAAGGTAACAGTACTGCCTTGACTAAGCTGTTCTTCTTGTGGTCCTCTGAATTCTTCCGAGAAAAAAGTATATACAAGTTCTAGCTTTTCCAGCTTTGATTATATCCTAGAATCATGGAATGGTTTGGGTTGGAAGGGACCTCAAAGATCACCTAGTTCCAACCCCCTGCCATGGGCAGGGACACCCTCCACTACACCAGGTTGCCCAAAGCCTCATCCAACCTGGCCTTGAACAGTTCCAGGGATGGGGCAGCCACAGCTTCTCTGGGCAACCTGTGCCAGTGCCTCACCACCCTCAACGTGAAGAATTTCTTCCTTAGATCTAATGGAAATCTCCCCTCTTTCTGTTTAAATCCATTGCCCCTTGTCCTGTCACTCCACGCCCTTGTAAAAAGCCCCTTTCCAGCTTTCTTGTAGCCCCTTTAGGTACTGGAAGGCTGCTGTAAGATCTGCCTATATATACCTAATTCCTACTGCATACTTCCCAAATAGGTCTGTGTGTGTTTGTGGGTGGGCATCCCCCAAGGGAAAGTGAAAAGTCACACCTTCTACAGAAAGGGCTGCCCAGCTTATCTGAACTTAGGAAGCAGCAGAAGCTCTGGGGGCTTAGACATCCTGAATGTAGGAGGCACAGCTGGTGTCAGAAGAGAGAACAGTTGCGATGAGTTTGTTTTGTGTGAACTGACTGGCATTTCTGTGATACCACTTGCTTTTAATAGCCTCCTTTTTCATAAAGCTCTTGCAACAGCGAAAGCTGGCACAATGTTGTGTTTGTGGTTTGTCTGTTCGTGTGCATGTTTGTGGCACAGAGAGATGCAACTGGCTGTAACGTTTCTCATTTTCTTCACAGGGCTTCAGGTACAGTTTTCACAGCTATCGATGTGGCAACGGGGCAGGAGGTAAGATTTCTGTGCTCGTTGCAATGAAAATACTGTCTCTGTATAAACGTTCTTCCGTAGGTGGCCAAAATGATTTGACTGGATTTCTTTCTGTGGCTCCCGTCTCGGCCATCACCTCTCAGAAGAATGTTTGTCATAGTCATTTGTAACAGTGCATGCCTTGTTCTGTAGTAATCAGATGATGAAAGCTAAAAATAGAGTTTTGTCTCTCCAGTGAAAAGCAGAGGGAGTGAGGTGTTCCAGAAATGGGTTTTGAAAACAGTTTTATCTTTCAAGAATCGTGGGCAACGGTGTCCTGCATTTTTAGAAATAAAACTTTGTTTAGTCTTTACACACTTCTTCTCTAGTCCCGTCACAGTAGAGGTGATGGATGCACCGATCTGTATGGAAACAGCTCGCCCTGTATGATTCTTTGTTGTAGTCAGAATGCCTTCTCTTCATCCTGCTCTTTGCTTTTACTCCTTGGGGTCTCCAAACCCACCTGGTGAACCCTAGAATCACAGAATGGTTTGGGTTGGAAGAGACCTCAAAGATTATCTAGTTCCAACCCCCCTGCCATGGACAGGGACACCCTCCACTACACCAGGTTGCTCAAAGCCCCATCCAACCTGGCCTTGAACACTTCCAGGGATGGCGCAGCCACAGCTTCTCTGGGCAACCTGTGCCAGTGCCTCACCACCCTCAGAGGGAAAAATTTCTTCCTTAGATCCAATCTAAATCTCCCCTCTTTCAGTTTAAAGCCATTGCCCCTTGTCCTGTCACTCCACACCCTTGTCCAAAGCCCCTCTCCAGCTTTCCTGTAGCCCCTCTAGGTACTGGAAGGTGCTGGAAGGTCTCCCTGGAGCCTTCTCTTCTCCAGGCTGAACAGCCCCAACTCTCTCAGCCTGTCTCCATAGCAGAGCTGCTCCAGCACTTGGATCATCTTTGTGGCCTCCTCTGGACTTGTTCCAGTAGCTCCATGTCCTTCTTGTGTTGGGGACCCCAGAGCTGAACGCAGCACTGCAGGGGGGTCTCAGGAGAGCAGAGCAGAGGGGCAGAATCCCCTCCCTCGCCCTGCTGCCCACGCTGCTCTGGATGCAGCCCAGGACACAGTTGGCTTTCTGGGCTGCCAGCGCATGGTGCCCGCTCATGTTGAGTTTCTCATTGACCAGCAAGCCCAAGTCCTTCTCCTCAGGGCTGCTCTCGGTTAAATCTGAATCCAATGCTGAAGCTGACAACATCAGCAATATTCTGCATGCATGTCATCCAGTGGTCACCTCTAATTCCAAGGACTAAAATTTTAGGAATTATTTGCTTCTCTTTAAATTCAGATTTCCTTACTTTTCTTTTAAATATCTGCAAGGAGCCTTTCCTTAGGTCACTGATAAGTAATCGCCCTTTCAGCAGTAACCACCTTTACTGGTACAGTAGTGGAGCACCGCATCTTGAGAAAATGCAAGCCTTGCAATCATCTCGATGTGTGGTCTCTTATTTTGCTTTCTGCGTGCTGCAGTACTTCGTGTCCTCTTCCTGACTGCGGAGTAAATTTTGTAGTCCAACTCCTTCCTTAAAATCTCCTCTGTGTGGTGTCAGGGCTAAGAGCTGATTGCTTGCGTTCATGCGTTAAATGGATGCAGTGCTCTGGCTTCTTCAGAGCTTCATGTCTGAGCATAGAGTCAGGGCTGTTTAGCAGTCAAAGAAGGATTTTACTGCTAATTCCAACTCCCTAATGGGAAGGTGTAGATAATATGGAGCTAGACTCCTCTTACACCTACACAATGACAGCACGAGAGGTGACAAACAAAAATTGCCATCAGGGAAATTCTGGTTAGATTTTAGAAATTTTTTTCCCTCACATTCGGGATGATCAAACATGGAACAGGAGCCCAGAGAGATTGTGGAATATCTGCTCCTTGAGATCTCCATTCAAAACTCAGTTGCACAAGACCCTCAGCAACCTGCTCCACGTTGGCTGTACTTTGAGCAAGGGATTGGGCCGGATGGCTTCCAGAAGTCCTCTCCAGTCTTAGTTATTTTGTGATTCTGTGCCACGAGTTCTCTTCTTTTAATGTCCTTGGCAATATGATAATGATAATTTCTACAAGATTATATTGGTTCTGGTGTTTGGGTTTGGACTCATGGGTAGGTTATCTTGTCAAACTCCGAACTGCCTCCTCGAAGTGGTGTAGCTAAAATAAATTCCGCGTCCTGGGCTGCATCAAGAGGAGCGTGGCCAGCAGGTCGAGGGAGGTGATTCTCCCCCTCTACTCTGCCCTCGTGAGACCTCACTTGGAGTACTGCGTCCAGTTCTGGAGTCCCCAACATAAGAAGGACATGGACCAGTTGGAGAGGGTCCAGAGGAGGGCCACGAAGATGATAAGAGGGCTGGAGCACCTTTCCTATGAGGACAGGCTGAAAGAGTTGGGGCTGTTCAGCCTGGAGAAGAGGAGGCTCCGGGGTGACCTTATAGCGGTCTTCCAGTACCTCAAGGGGGCCTACAGGAAAGATGGAGAGAGGCTGTTCAGGAGGGCCAGTTATGATAGGACAAGGGGTAATGGTTTTAAAATAGAGGGAGGTAGGTTCAGGTTGGATATTAGGAAAAAATTTTTTACCATGAGAGTGGTAGAACACTGGAACAGGTTGCCCAGAGAGGTGGTGGATGCTCCATCCCTGGAGACGTTCAAGGCCAGGTTGGACGAGGCCCTGAGCAACCTGATCTAGTTGGAGATATCCCTGTTCCTTGCAGGGGGGTTGGACTAGATGCCCTTTGAAGGTCCCTTCCAGCCCTAACCATTCTATGATTCTATGATTCTAAATGGGACAATTCTTCTCCATTTTAAAGTCTGGAATACTTGTCCTGATTAGCTTATTTCCTGGAGAAAATATAGGTCTTTATCTTCCCTTCTGTCTCTGAGATGGTTCATTGGCTTAATTGCTTTGAGAGTAATTCCTCCTGCCTCCCAGAATTCCTTATACCCAAACACTAATTTGGCTGGAACGTAGAAAACCGAATTACCTTGCCTTGCTTACGCTCTCTCTTAGCTGCTACACGATTCTCTTCTGCTTTAGGCCTGCTGATACGAAATTGGGCGAGTGTCTTTTCATCTCCTGAATGTTTCCTTTGCTGTCTGTCCTGGCCTTTGTTATTGTTTGTGGATCTTTTCAGCAGCCAGAGGATGATGTTGGCTCTGAGCACGGGTTGTATGCTCATCAGGTTGCACTCTTTTAAGTTGCGTGCTAAGAAATGAATAACTTGCCAGCTGCAAGTTGTGCTAAACTCCTTTAATCCTGTTGCAGAATTTCTTCTGGCTTTTCACTGTGTTAAGAATGACCGAACGGTTTTGATACTCAAGTTTGAGTGATTACTGGTTTATTTTGTTTTATTCAGGTTGCTATTAAACAGATAAACCTGCAGAAGCAGCCCAAGAAGGAGCTGATTATTAATGAGATCTTGGTAATGAAGGAGCTGAAGAACCCCAACATAGTCAACTTCCTGGACAGGTAAATGCAAACAGCTCGCTGATTCTTTCATCCCCAAGGATTTTGAGAGGTTTTAACTTGATACTCTTACCATTTTTCAGTTCTTGTTCTCTTGAAGGCAAACGAGCATGTTTTTCATTTTCTGTTTGTAGTTACCTCGTAGGAGATGAGTTGTTTGTGGTGATGGAGTACCTAGCTGGAGGCTCGCTAACAGATGTGGTCACAGAAACATGTATGGATGAAGCACAGATTGCTGCTGTTTGCAGAGAGGTGAGTCTTGCAGCTGATCGATAGAGGAATGAAGGTTGAGGAATGAAGGAATGAATTCCTTGAGGAATGAAGGTGCATTCTATTCCCTTAGGTTTTACGGTACACTAATTGCAACAATTGCTGTTGGAACCCTTGAGTTACGAAGAATGGATGGCACTGAGAGCAGAAATCAATATGAAAATTACAGAAAATAACAAAATGAGTTTAACTTGGAAAATTGGGGATTTGCAATGAGAGCTATGGCAGTTTGGAGCTGGATGTTTGGGAACGTTAGGCGATGGAGCAAATAAAGATTTCGTTTCTGGTACTTGGGTTACCTAGTTCTGGTGACAGTGTTAACAGAAAGATGATAATAATGCGGACTCAAGTTCAAGGAAGAGCAATGAATCATAGAATCATGGAATGGTTTGGGTTCGAAGGGACCTCAAAGATCATCTAGTTCCAACCCCCCTGCCATGGGCAGGGACACCCTCCACTACACCAGGTTGCCCAAAGCCCCATCCAACCTGGCCTTGAACACTGCCAGGGATGAGGCAGCCACAGCTTCTCTGGGCAACCTGTGCCAGTGCCTCACCACCCTCTATGTAAAGAATTTCTTTCTTATATCTGATCTAAATCTGCCCTCTTCCAGTTTAAATCCATTGCCCCTTGTCCTATCACTACACACCCTTGTCCAAAGTCCCTCTCCAGCTTTCCTGTAGCCCCTTTAGGTACTGGAAGGCTGCTATAAGATCACCCCGGAGCCTTCTCTTCTCCAGGCTGAACAGCCCCAACTCTCTCAGCCTGTCTTCATATCAGAGTTGCTCCAGCCCTCGGATCATCTTTGTGGCCTCCTCTGGAAGTTTAGCAGCTGGAAAGAACATCTAACTTTGGCTAGTGGAGAATATTCAAAGGCACCAAAAAGAAAACTGAGTGTATATAGGTAACGTAGAAAGCAGAGATGTGAACATATTTTTAAAAAAAAATAAGCCTGGAGGCTTCTGAGCGTTTTCCAGAAGGAAGAAGGGTGACTGTGTTTCCTTAGAGTGTGAAAGTGGATCTGATGAAACAGGAAGAGTTTAAGAAACGTAATACTAAAATGAAGATGAACTTAATGCAGACTATCTCATTTTAATAGTTTTTGTGGTGTGTGAAATCCGTAGTTCTGTGACAATTAAGTTTCTTGATGGATTGCTCACAGGAGTAATTCTCCAGAAGATCGTGAGTGAAATAACTTTGATTGCAGTTAAGATTTCAAATGGAAGAGTTAAAAATAGCTGATGTCACAACTTGTCAGTGGTTTCTGCCCTGAGTCAGAGTGCTGGTGTCCAGCTCAGGCTTGATTTATTATGGCAGAAGGAGAGATAATTGTATTATCTGCTGTACAGCAGAGCCTTTTAAAAACCCTGTTGACTACATCAACGTGACATCTGCTTTTGATGACTCACCCTAAGGGGAGGGGATGGAAAACAAACTTGTACATCAACGTGTATGGACAGGTAATGGTTTCCTGAGAAACCAGAGCTGGAAGCAGAGAACTGAAAGTAACGATGTACTGTAACAATAATTAACTTTCCTGAGGGAAAATCTAATACTGAACTATGATACTTCTTCAAAGTTCTGCTGCTCAGTATGTTGGATATGCTTCATTCTGCAAATCAGTGTCACTTTTTGCTAAAGCACGTGAAAAAAAAAAGACACAAAAAACTCAACTAGGAATTACATCCATGCCAGCTCGCAAACGGTGAATGTTCTGCTTGTATTAAAAGAGAAGAATCTTACCTTTTTTTGCCTTTTATTCTCAAATAGCAAAAGTAAATTTCATTATGGTTTTGGGCAGAAACTTAGCGTGGAAGGTTTTAATCTAAAACCAGTGCAACTACCAGTATTAGTGACTTTCATAATGGAGGTGTTTTACAGCCCTCACTGGAGGAGAAGTTGCATGCGTATAAGAATGAAGTCTCACCAATTCCTGTTGGTGAGACTTCAGGCTAAAAAGCTGTCACCTCATCCCTTAAGGTTCCTCTAGAATTTGTGGGATGTACCAGAGCTAACATGGGATTTTTGGAAGCATCTCAGGTGGTGACTGGGTGATGAGGAGTTTAATTTATGGATTTTATGAATATTGAAGGCTCCAGGGTGATCTTATAGCAGCCTTCCAGTACCTAAAGGGGCTACAGGAAAGCTGGAGAGGGGCTTTTCACAAGGGTGTGTAGTGACACAACAAGGGGCAATGGATTTAAACTGAAAGAGGGGAGATTTAGACTGAATATAAGGAAGAAATTTTTTCACTCAGAGGGTGGTGAGGCACTGGCACAGGTTGCCCAGAGAAGTTGTAGATGCCCCATCCCTGGAAGTGCTCAAGGCCAGGTTGGATGAGGCTTTGGGCAACCTGGTGTAGTGGAGGGTGTCCCTGCCCATGGCAGGGGGGTTGGAACTGGATGATCTTTGAGGTCCCTTCCAACCCAAACCATTTTGATTCCATGATTTGTTAAGATAGCAGAGCAACTCCATGGTTAAATGATTTTTGACCTCATGAGATCCAGAGGGTATTTTTTTAGCACAAGAGCTTCCTCTACTGGTTATTTTAAATAATACCTGTTATGTTTGTGCGCTCAGCACTGGCTGAGGGTGTAAACATTGCTTTTGAGAATTATGTTTCCATATGCTGAATATTTTGTTTTCCCTCCCATCCAGTGCTTGCAAGCCCTTGAATTCCTACATGCCAACCAGGTCATCCACAGGGACATTAAGAGTGACAACGTGCTGTTAGGAATGGACGGATCAGTTAAACTAAGTGAGTACCAGATACTTGTTTCAACGTTGTGTTTTCTCTTTCCCAGTAAACTTTGACTTGGAGAGTGTAAATTGCTAGAAGGTGAGTTGGCAGGGAATTTTGAGGTGAATTTTTATGGGATATGAGTAATAGAAATTCGCTCTGTGTTATAAAATGTATAACTCGCAGGTAGCAGGTATTGAAATTGTGAGGGCCTAAGACTAAAGCTGTGAACCTCAGATGGGCAGGATGTTGAAGCAAATCTGTTGCCACATGAAGACGTTGGTAAAGATGAAGTAACCAGGGCCATACAGTGAAGCAAAGATGGGAATGATTGCAAGAGGAAGGTTGCAGCTAGCTGCAGTTGCTTCATTGGTCTCTTCAGGTTATCATGCCTTGCTTTTAATGTTTTGTGTAACACCCTTTCAGTAACATAATGATCGTGAAATGACAAAAGAAACTACTTGCTTTTCAGGCAGTTGTCGTGCATGCATGGGCTGGTGTCCAGTAAGTTAGTTTCTGGTGTATGCAATAAAAAAATGTGAAACCACTTGAAGAAGCTGTCAGGCCTATTGAGAGAGAGATGAATTATCTGACTTGGTATGTAGGAATGTGCAAAGCGTGAAGCGACCAAAGAGTTAAGGGATGGTGTTTTTACAGTCGGGTAGGAATTTGAAATGTCATGAGAACATATCTCAGCAATATTGCTCAGTCTAGATGGTTTGCAGTCTCATTTGGTCGTGAGATGGAGTGTGAAGAAGGATCACGAGCAACCTGCTTTGCTCACCAGCGTTGTTGGATGCACTGCTTGCTTGCATAGGAGGCTTTATTTTTTTTTAAGGGTATGAAGTGTTTGTGCACAAACTGTGTGGATTCAGAGGCTGAAAATAAGTGAATAGTTACAGTAGAGGATGTGTCCGAGGAGAGGAGGCTCAAAAATGTAAGAGCTGTTAAAGCAAAGCAGAGTGGCAAAAGGACAGGGACATAGGACATACAGCCTGTGTAAAGAAGCATTGGCCTCAGGAGGTTGGAGGAAGATGAGGAGGAAGGAGAGAGAGGAGAAAACAGGAGTCAGCTGTAAAAATGTCGTATATGAAAGGGACATACTGTCATCAGCGTCGAGCCCTTACTTGGCTGTGTCATTACAGAGCTTCTAGCAGTTGTTTAGGGTGGAGGATGGAAGAAGTTGCACCTTCCTTTCAGGCTCTTCCCCTTCTCTGGGGGAGTCTGTGCTTTTGGGAGACTGGTAACAGGAGAAGTAAGAGATACCAGTCTGCCTGTCACCACTACATACCTACACACACTCCTGAGTGGTGTGTACATCTTGCCTGTCTTTCCTTGCTATGGGCATGGTGCTGAAGGCCTCCTTGGTAGGTCAGGAGACATACCCCCCTGCTGCTTCTCTGGTGTGTTCACTGAAATAAGCTGTGCTTATTGCTCAACTCAATAAGTTGAGTGTGACACGTTGATAAAGGCCAGGAAGGGCTGGTGAGGAACTCACTGGTTGCTATAGGCTTGATTCTTTTTTTTTTTTCCTTTTCTTTTTGTTTTTTCTTCCCTTGACAATGGGGCTGGGGGCAGTTCTTTGTTCACTTGTCCTCTTGGTAAAACTTAGCACTTTTCATGACTGTAGCTCTTTTGTCCGCACTGCGTGGCATAACACTTTCACAATTGACTTGAAATTTTAAATTCTCTCTTTCTCTCTCTTTCTCTTTCTCTCTCTCAAACTTAGTGTCAATGATAAGGTAAAAATCTGTCTCCTGCCTTAGCTGTGTTCTTATTGATGCTTTACATGCCTGGGAAGTGGGAGTGCTGCAGCTGGATAAAGTAACATGATGGAACATGCATTGCTGCTGCACCCGAAGGCTATAGGAATAGGTGACTTTTCTCGTTTTCTTGAGTGTGGTTGTTCTCTTTGGTAGTTACCTTGTGGAAAGGTTTGTTTGTCCAGGTTCCTTCTGCTGAGTGGGCTAGCACTTCGCTTACCTGAAGCCTTGTTTCCATGTCTCTATCAGCTGCAGAACCTCTATTTGATGGCCAAATTGCTGTGAAGCGTTGAACTCGATAGGTGCACAAATTAAAATCTGTTTAGCAGGGCAGAAGCTGTGGTTTGTGGATTCGTGTTTTCTAGATCGGATAACATGCCATGCACAGAACACTTGCCTTCTGTGTTCTGCTTGATTACTTGGTTTTGGCTCTTACCAGTCTAGGAATCTTGAAGACTGGGCAAAATACCATTCTCCTACAGGGTAATACTTGTGTCACTTTTCCAGAGGACAAAAAGCCTTATCTTCGTTCCACGGAAGTCTGTCCTGCTTAAACACCTTCAGGTTTTGTATCTGTCTTGCACGTTGGATTTTGTAGTATGGTGAATACCGTGGGGGAAAGAAAAAAAAAAAAAAGGAGACACCCCCCAAGCCCCTCAAGTGTGGAGGGGTAAAATACACATGTAGTAATAGAGAAGTCTTCTAGGAAACCCACTTACTTGGGGTGCACCAGTTTAACTTTTGAAAATTCTGTTATCCTACAGCCGACTTTGGTTTCTGTGCTCAGATCACCCCCGAGCAGAGCAAGCGCAGCACTATGGTTGGAACTCCTTACTGGATGGCTCCTGAAGTGGTCACGCGGAAAGCTTACGGCCCGAAAGTGGATATCTGGTCTCTGGGCATCATGGCCATTGAGATGGTGGAAGGAGAACCCCCGTACCTCAACGAAAACCCCCTGAGGGTAAGAAGCCCAGATGTGGCTTGAACTGTTTGCGGGCGTTTACCATATGAACGTTTTTAGTATTTGTTCATTCATAGTTTCTACATTAAAAAGAAAATTAAATGAAAAAAAAAAAACAACAAGCTTCAGCAGCACAAGAAAATTCCTCCAAAAGGAAAACGGCTCTCTTGAACTTGCTGTCAGCCCTTCCCTGAATTTTTCTGTTTAGAAGATGAGTACCTGCTTGCAACTAAAGCACTTTGAATTCAGTCTTCTGTGCTAGTTTAGGGAAAGTAAATCCATTAGGTTATGAAAAATGCTGCTTGTGTCAAAATCTGATATTTTCTTTGCCAAGGTGAGTAGGTGTTTGGATATTATTTTACCACTAGCAAGAATAGGTCATGACTGCCTGTAATTGTGGAGTTTTTATAGTTTTTCATCTCATCAGGGGGAGGAGAAGTAGCCTGCGGAGCCCTTTCTCGTCGAGACTCAGGGATCGCCGCTAGGCTGGTCAGTTTGACGTCTTTTAAAGATTTGGCTTGATTATACGATATCCCTCGATTTACAGGCCTTATATTTGATAGCAACTAATGGCACACCAGAGCTGCAGAACCCCGAGAAACTGTCCCCGATATTCCGGGATTTCTTGAACCGATGTTTGGAGATGGATGTAGAGAAAAGAGGATCAGCCAAAGAATTGCTACAGGTAAGAACCAGCTGCTTTTTGCAGTCTGAGGGACAGAAGCCGTGAGCAAGGTCAGCCTGATAAACTGCACCGTAGGCTGGCACCCTCTTCTGTCCTGCTTTTTCTCCTGAGGACTCGAGTGGAGAGTAGTTGGTAGGAACCACGGTCATCAAAGATTGTAGTAGGCACTCCGAAATCTTTCCATCAGTGATCCGTGCCTTCGTTCTGACACTGCTAAAGCATCCAAGGATTTACAAACTTACTGTGACAGAGCCTTGAAGTCAGCAGAATGGGACTGAGAGAAGATGTTTGAGCAGGAAACCTCTTTGTAGTGAGTTGTTGCGAAAGGAAAAGCCTCGGCTCTTCTGGGATGAGTAGGAATGATCATCAGGCTTGAGGTGCTCTGGATGTGTCCCTTCAGGAGCTGGGTGTCGATAGCGTTTGCATTGCTTTTCAAACGTCGGGGTGAAAAGGGCTGTAGATACATGGGTTTTACTGGCTTGTTTAATCCATGCCTTTCCCTAATTTACTGTTTCTCTCTTCCTGGCAGCATCCCTTCTTGAAACTGGCCAAACCTCTGTCTAGCTTGACGCCACTGATCTTGGCAGCCAAAGAAGCAATGAAGAGTAACCGCTAACATTACTGCCACAGCCTTCATCCTTTTTTTTTTTTTTTTGTTTGTATTTTACAAATCTTTATAATATATGGAATTGTTACACTTTTAGGGGGAGGGGAGGGATTTTGTGGGGACGGGGAAAACGTCTGCAAAAGGGAAGAAACTCTCATCCAGAAGACACCCAAAGTAAATAGTGGTGACTCTAGCGATCCCTGTCTGGGGTCCAGAAGGAATTGAGGACTGAATTACTGGCCTTTTTTTTAAATTTTTTTTTTTTTTTTTTAATTTTTTGCAGACAGCCCAGAAATGCCACTTACTGTGCCCGGGGTTTTAAGGGTTTTTAACGACTTTGCTGTAACAGCTCCCATTCATTGTACCCTTCTGGGTACTTTCAATACTTGAATGACAGATTCAAGCTTTCGGAGAGCAGTACTAATGTTACCTGCTGATCTCTTTCACTCTCCTCTTCCTCCCCTCTACCAGTTTACTTTTAAATCACTCTAGTAAGCTCCCATATGACTAGGTCACAGCACGTGGGACAAATGTGAAGGTACATCTTGCCCCTTGTTTCTTTTATGGTTTAGCTCTTACTGTACTGTAGAATTGACAACTTGGCTACTTAAGAAATCGTAATGTATTGAGTTGTTTTTTGCTTTTGAAGATGAATATGGAGAGAGGGGGAAGAGAAGTATTCAGCTGTTTCTCATATGCTCTGTGGACTTTTAATCAAAGATGTGGCCTCTTTGTAGAAACTTAATGATAGGCCAAGTCTTTGGATGTCAGTTTAGGGATATGTCGGTAGGGGTCAGATACTTTATTTATGATCAAGTGATCAGCTATAGTCAGGGCAAGAAAAAAAACTTCCAGCTGTCTTCCTGTCTGCTCTGTTTTTTCCCCATTAGACTTGCTGGCCAGAAGCTTAAGGGGTTAATGTGCTTGGTGAGGTGGGTGGGTCAAAAACATGTATTGTATCTGTGCTCTGACTTGGGCTTTGGAAGTTATGCTGGTGCCTTTGACTTTTTTTATGTTACGTTTTCCCTTCTTTGTATCAAATACATTTTTGTATATGTTGTAATTTTTTTTCCCCGAGCAAATAATGCATCAGCCTATGGAGTTGTCAGAGTTTAAGCATCAAAGCTATTTTTTTCCTATTTTGTATGTGCTCCATTTGTACTAACGAAATCAGAAGAGCAAATAATCAGATCTGAGGACACTGAAGATACAAGCTTTTTAAAAATACGATTCAGACAGAAGATTATGAACACCTGGAAATGCCAAAGCACTGTTCTGAGAAGACAGAAGCTGAGAGGGGAGAACAGTGCCTTCAGATGTCCGTGGGGCCTATTTGACCAGCTAACTTGAGGCTGAGGAGATGTGATGTGTCACACCAATCCCTTCCTCGCTAAAGACGTTGTGCCAGCTAGGGTGCCTGACATCAAACATTCGGTGCAAGAAAAAGTGCCTCCCTCTGAAGGACAGTGAGCAACTTGAATTCTTGGGGTGTTACCAGGGGCAAGTGTAGAAGAGCCTGTGCCCCGGCTTCTTCTAGTGCTACAGTCTATGCATTTCAACCTCCCCAGCAGTTTAACGACGAGCCAACTCTAGTTACGATGTGCCAAACGATTCTGTTCATTTAGTGGGATTTCATTGCATTCCCAGCGGGGCAGGACCTGGGACGGGTAGGGTTATGCTTGGGTATGGACGCAACTCTAGTTACGATGTGCCAAACGATTCTGGTTCATTTAGTGGGATTTCATTGCATTTCCAGCGGGGCAGGACCTGGGACGGATAGGGTTATGCTTGGGTATGGACAGAGGACCCTGAATAAAAATTGTTTTGCACACTTTTACAAAGATTGCTGGCAGAAGATAGAAGTCATTTTCAGATAATTTTGGTGTTTGCGTAGCGATAGAGATAACGATGTTTTGGGGACTGGTAGCCGAGGTATGACAAAACCCAACTTCCAGCTGAGAGCAGCCGGCCGGAACAGCGGAGGCTGTTTGTGTTGGCGATGGAGGGGAAGCAGGGTGAGGGTCTCGCAGCGTCTACTGTGACCCAGTAGCTTCGAGGAGACAGTGTGGTGCCAACAAGGTGCCTTGTTGTGCAGGGCGCTGCGGCGTCGCGGCGCAGCTCGCGTTCTGCTCTTCCGTGGCAGGAAAAATTTACATCGGATAACTTAACGTTAACTGCTCCATCGAAGGAATAAACCCCTCGAGCTGTAAGTGGAAGGATAGTGATGGTTTGAAATTCGAGGAGGTGTCTCATTCCGGGCAAGTGAATGGAGGTGCGTTTCCCAGGCAAAACGTGTCATGAGCCGTGGACGCCGTAATTAACGGCGATGCCCCTGGTTGGAGTGTGTCTGGCTCCCTGGTGGAATGAAGTAGCGAGGAGGCTTGGCTGAGAATAAAACCACCTGTTGTCCCGATGATTCCCTCTTTGTCCGTTGCTGGCAATGGACTTTGTGAAACTCCTTGTGCCAAGGTTAAACCGGGAGCTCTTATTTCCTTCTTTCTTCTTTATTTTCTTTTTTTTTTTTTTGATGGCACAATCTAGACAGTAAGATAACTTGTGATAAATTTAGGTTTCTTTAAATAGAAAAAAGCAAGAAATCATAAGGAATTTTAACTTATTAGTTCACTTTTATTGATGAATGAGGATTGTTTAAAACATACATCACAAAATTTATCCGATTTAGTCTACTTAGGAGATGATTTCCAAACTTCCAGCCATCTCGGCGCACAAAACTTGGCCCAATCCAGAAGTTACCAAAACATATCTCCGCGCTGTGTGACCTGCAGCGGTGTTTAGCTCTGAAGCTGAGACGTGCCCACATCTCCCCTTCCCCACGCAGCAGCTTTATTGTTGCATGATGAGGTTTCTTACCTCCTGCTGCCAGAAATCGGGGCCAGAGACAGAGCTGGCGGAAGAGAAGAGCCACGAGAAGGTCGCTGTGTCTTAGTTGGTTGGACATCCCTTATCTAATGATGTCAGCTGGATGTGTCTGCAAGATTAAAAAATGAGAGCTGTGTTTTTTCCCCCTAAGGAGAGCAGATTAGTGTCCTTAAGCCGTGCTGTGGGGCTCTTCCACTCTGCTGTATCGCCAGGGCGGGCAGAGGCCAGGCAGAGTTTGGGCAGGTGATGATAAGGGAAGGATTGTGTCTGGAAGCGCTGAAATTCCTGCTCCTCTCCGGGATGCCAGCATAAGATCCCGAGTCGGATTCTCATCAGATCCGCGTGTGATGCCTACGGAGTGGAACATACAGCGGTGCGGTTCATCGGGTGCGTGGAGCTGGGCAGCTCATGGCTGAGACGCAAGTGTGCAGGGAATGGGTGACTCCTGGGATTTGTCTCGTTAGCGTAGAATAAACCAGAGTTTTCATTAAAAGCAGCCGCGGTGCCGGGAATGTGCACTTTGACCTGCCTTAGGTGTTAAGAGGGCTGATTGTGGGCTCCCCCCGGCTCTCCGGTGCGGGGAGGTGCAAAAGGTGCGGCTAGAGAGATGGGTCCCCTGTGTGGGCTGGGGAGGGAGCGAGGAGGTCGTTGAGGGTCTCTCCAGCTGCAGTTGAATGAATAAATGTCCCTGGTCCAGTTTTTCCCTCTGTTCCTCACGCTGTCGATGGAAACGGAAGGAGGTGCAAGCTTTCTTTTTATTTTTTGAACTGTCTTCAGATTTTAATGTTGCCTTGTGTGTAATTTAATCCCATTATGTTATTTAATTGTTACTGCAATATTAACTACTGTATTTGTTGACTTTGTTTAATAACTGTTCTTTCAGGGCTAGAAATAAACTTTTAAAAAACATTTGGGTTTTTCCCCCCCCCCCCTTCCCTTATACCTTCCAAGACAAGAGTAGCTGAAAAGAGGACATGTTTGGATGTCTTAATGAGATTAACGGAATGTATTTGTTTGCAATTAAGCTTCTTACGAGTGCTTCAATTACGGTGGGTATCATTATATGCTATACCAGCCTGTCCTGTTTCTTTCAAAATTTTATTACTCACCAGTGCCTGTACCAACCTCGTGACAACTGCAAGCTCTCCTTGCCGCCACGCAAGACTGTTTTGCCTCCCGCAAAACGCTCCGGATCGCTGCTGGGCGGAGAGCAGCTCGGAAACACCCTTACACCCGCCGTGGAAGAGAGATCCTTTGCTCTTCTTGCGAAGGAAGCAAAGCAAAGACCAGCCTAATCCATCACAGCCACATCTTCCACCGTTCGTTTGCTGTAAGGTAGCCTTCTGGTAGTGACTGGTGTGGCACTGGTGGGCCAGTAAACTGCCATCGTGGCGATACGATGATGTCTCAGTAACTATTCCGACCAAAACTGCTTTATTTTGCACCGTGAACATCATCCAGTATCCTGCATATAAATATTATGGCACAGGAGCCACGGAGGAACGAGCTGACCCAATTCCTGCTTGGCAGACGCAGCTCCTGGTTCTGCGCCGTCCCCGCTGATCCGTGTTTCACCGATGGAGCCGGGTGGCGCCAGCTCGCCGAGGACTCGGGATGAGGTCGATGGTGCCTGTCGGTAGGAGACTCGCTCATGGTTTTCATCCAAACTACAGAAACGCTGCGGCGTGCTGGTGTGGCTGCCCAGCTGAAGAAAAGGACATCTAAACGGGATCTGCTTTGGGGTTGAGAACGGTTCAGTTGCAATCCAGGTGAAGTTTCTGTCTCGGTTGTGAATGTCAAGGACTCATCGTGTCGTGCGTTTCCCGTGTGTCGTTGGGGAAATCGTCTCTTCCCCTTTCGTGCATGTTGTACGAGCTTTGCTCATACCACTGACAAAGGGAAATGAAGAAACCGCTCGTCTTCAGAAGCCTTTTCAACCAGACATGAGAATGTTGTTTTGCACAAAGCACTGTCTCTTCAGGTTAATTAATTTGTTGTAGTATCTTTGTCTTTATATATAATTGACCCTTTATGCATTTAAACTGTTGTTCTCTAACTCTGCATTTAAGTGATTTGGCATTTAATTTACGGGGGGAAACGCTGACAGGAGGAGAGAGAAGGTCCTTAGT